CTCAATAATGTGATTTTTTCTATGAATTTCAAAATTTATTTTATCTCAATAATGTGATTTTTTCTATGAGGAAAAAAAGTACAATTATTGTCGTGATGGATGTGTTTTGCAAAGTCTTTGGTTGTTATTGAAAGTGTTTGTTGTGGAAATTTATTTGTATGACATGTATGTATATATGTATTGAATATAAGTTGATAGGATAACAATATACAATTTCGCAATTTTTTTTCCTAACAAATATGACTATATTACTAGAGCAATACATATTAGAAAATTACATTTATATTTTTTATATAAATATAGCATTATAGATTGACAATGTATGAATACAATAAGATATATAAATTTACATTTATATTTTTTAATTATATTTATATATGTAGACATTGACATATATAAGATATCACAAAAGTAATATGTGAAATCTTTTATAACAATATAATACAGGTAACAATGAAAAGTTAATTATTTATAATTAAGTAATTCGTCATAATGTAGATGTTTAGTGTTACATTTTTATGTGTATGCACAATTTTTTAATTAGATTATTAAATTCACATAAAAATTGAAAGGAATTTGTGAATAATTTGTGTAAAATTAGAGATTAATGAATATAGATTTAAAAAAAGAGAAATTTATAGTGTTTGATTTGGTTTGTTTTTTCAAACTTTTGTTTTGAATTTTTTGATTTTCATATTTTTTGTCTTTGACACTTTTTTATTTTTTATTTTTAATAACCCTTTCAGTTTCTTTTTAGATTCAACAGCCTCTATAGTTTGAGAAGTGAACAAGGTTCTTGGACATTCTACAACTTCGGGGCTTGTAAGAACTACTTTTTAATAGCACAAAAGCTTGGGGGTTCATATTCAAGTGAACAAGGTTCTTAGACATACTACAACTTCGGGGCTTGGAAGAACTAGTTTTTAATAGCACAAAAGCTTGGGGGTTCATATTCAAACCTTTTAGCCTTACAAAAGTTACAAGGTATCATTTTATGTAATTCATGCAATATGTCAGAGAGTAAACAATTTGCAATGATGTGTTATTTGTTTTTCACATATATATATATATATATATATATAAAACAAACTACATGTATTAGAATCAATTCTACCCAAATAATAATTAATTTTGCATGTATATCATTCGTTGGAGTTGTCCCGTCATGCTTTTCCAAAAAGTAAGTTGTGTTGTCAAATGTGTTTGGGCCTTTGCGTTTCCTTTTCCTACTATTTGAAATATTTTCAGTATATTGTTTTCGTTATTCAGGTGTAAAATTGACATAATGATTCTTTTGTTGAGCACAACATTTTGAAATTGCATAGAAAGCAAAAAATAAAATAGAATCAGCTTATGGTAAATTTCACATGATAAATATTTAGGAATAATTTAAAAATTATGAAAAATGATAAATATCATTAACTAATATGTATCATTTGTAATTGTAACAAATTATGAATATTTTTTTAATTTGTTTATCGAAATTGACATACAAGTTTGTGCCATTGGTATTGTCTATTTGTTTTTGTTAGTAGAGGAGTGTTTTCTTTCCCAGTTCTGACCGATAATCTGGAGAAAAAAAAAATTAAAACCAAGAGGAAAAAAATTAATTTGAGCTACACATGAGAAGGATAAGTGCCTATATTGAACTATTCGATAAAAAAGAAGAATGAACAGGTATCAATCAATAAAATGATTGAACTTATTTTACTTAAAAAATTTAACTTAGACCAAAGTAGAAATTAGTTATTATATTGAGAAACCCAATCGGTTCGTATGTATTAATATGTAGTTTGAAAAGCCATAAAGTAAAAGGAAATTACTCTTATATATATGTTCAGATGTTTAAACATTAATTAAGTGTTAAAATAAATAAATAAATCAAATAATTTGAAAGTATGAAGTATGTGATAGTCACATTTTCTCTTTTTGAGTTTCTTAATAGTTTATTTTATTTATTTTTATTTTGTATCAAAATATTTTTATTTTTCACGTCTGTTTAGCGTGGAAAGATAAAAAAAAACCAAAAATAAAAATCACTAATGAATAAATAAGTTTTTTTTTTTGGCCTTTGTTTTTGTGTTGACTTTTTTAAAATTTTAAATTTGACTAAAAAAAAAAAATCATTTTTTGTATAATATTTGGTAGGAATGACAATGACAAAAAAACATGAGTGCAGATCCTTGGTAGTGCAAATGTCGTAGTGCATCAAAACCACATTATTTCAATGCATTAAACAAAAAAGATAATAAATAAAAATAAACATATAAACTTATTGCTACATTCTAGGCCACGAACTTGGTGGCTTTTGATTGAGAACTCTGCAGCAAATAGAATGGCAACGGGCGGGGTTGGTCGGGGCGGGGATTGCACTCCTCATCCCCAATCCCCGAAGCCATGAAAGTCCCCGATCCTCGACGAGGAACCCATCACCCTCACCGCCCCCACCCTAATTTGTTTGAAGTGTGAATCTCATTATGCAATACTTCAATGTAGACCACATATTACTTTTGGTGATAAAATTCTTGACAAATTTTTATGGTTCCTAACTTTTTTTTTTTCTCTCCTTTTGATATGAGAGGGGGAATGCTGCTCATTTGGTTGGCATGGCATAGTGATGGTCCTTCTCATTGCTTGTAAAGAACACGACCTTTTCATAATGTTTCATACTTTTTATGTTTTCCAATTCAATAAATCCTCATCAACCGATAACTGAGCCGCTTGAATTAGCTCGTACATAGGTGGAATCTCACACCTCAGCAAACTAGCCATCTTATCAAGCCTCATTAACTAAAAGTTTTCATTATTATAAATTGATCCCATAAGCCTGAAAAATTTATAAAAAACATAAAAAAGTATTAAAAAAATTTCAAAAAATTATAGTTTTGAGTAAATTTAGAATTTGAATTTATATGTGTTTACTTACAACACTTAGAGATGAAATAAAAGATAATTTAAATTATATTTATGAATTAGAAAGTGAGTTAAATGGATTAAATTCTGTTTTGGCTATTGCTTCTTGATAATCTATAATAAATTATAGCCAAAGATTTGCCGGTGTTAAAGATAAAATATCCTTAGAAAAGGCAAGTGTCGCTTACTAATGAAATATTTTGCAAGAGTTAATATTAAATTAAATCTGTGAATTTGTAATTGAAATTAGTATCAGACAATTTCTCAGCTTTGCCAATAATATTTGCATGAGTATCAAATATAGTGAAGAAATAGAATCTGATAACCTAAATAATAGTACTTCTTTACAAATAATAATGGAACAAAATAATACCTTAATTAGGCTATTCAAAAAATTAGCAAAAACCTTAGAAATAATAAACGAAATTAGACATTTAATACAAGATCCTTTCATGATTTTAAGTTGGCGGGCAAAGAGTGTTTGTTCATGATCACTTGTGTTTGTTCATGACCACTTGTGTTATTGTGTAAATTCATAGTCACCAAACTAATAATTTAATAATTTTTTTGTTTTGTTTTATATAAGTGTCTTTTGGGTTAATTCATTTTGTTATTCAATACTTATTCGGTGTGATACTTATTCGATGTGGTGAATTTCATCAGTAGTGCTTAGTTTACTGAAATAAAAGTGGAATGGAATAATCAATTAAAATGTTTATTCTCATATATGATGAAAAAAGTATTGGAAATGGATTCTTCACTATTATAAGGAAATGATCATTCTATAAATAAACTCAAAAAAATCTCTCATTTTGAACTATTAGGCTAATAACATTGAACCAAAATTTCTTACATAATTTTCAAAAGCCCACCACCTCAATAACTTCACAGGCGATTATTGGGTAGTCCTAAAGTACGATCACGTGGTACTCTATAGTATTATGATTGGTCAAGAAGATGAAGTATTATGATTTTATGTTGAGTAATTGAAGAATATAAGAGGACATGGTGAATGATAATTGGTAAAGAAGTATGGAAACATGGTATTCTGGGAGTACGCAATAATTTTTCTTATTTCACCAACCAAGTTAAAGGACAAAATAAAAAATTCAAAAACAAGCTAAGGACAAAATAGACAACCCAAGACAAGCCTTCACAATCAAAATTTCTTACATAATTTCAAAAAAGCCACAATCCAAATTGTTTCACCAACCAAACTAAAGGGCAAAATAGGAATAAGAAACAAGCCACAAGCAGGAAACAGATTCTTATAAATATATATATATATATATATATGCGTAGTATTTGAGAAGAACACATCCAACTATTTATGTATTAGCCCCTCAATACCTAAGACAATTTTTTAGTACTTAAGACAACTTCTACACTAATTCTACCTAATTAATGTATGTGTCTGACAATAAAATATGAGAAATTTGGTCAAAACTCCCTCATAATAAAATTTAGTAAAAAAATTATTTTATAAGTGTTTGTAACATTAAAAGCTTAAATTCTTACATATAAGAATCTTGGTGCATTCCAAAAAATCTTCACTTTCAAAATTACAATTAGGTAGTTTTTACATCCATAAGATAATCAAAAGAATATTAGGAATGAATATCATTAAAATTAAAGTAGGAGCACAACCATTAAACACGTAAAAGTGAATTTGAAATCATTGCAAGAACTCTCTAGTTTAGTTTAAGCACAATGAAAAAAATCCAACAAAACTATAAACGAAGAACGGAAAAAAAAAAAAAAACAAAAAGACTGCTACTTGTATAAAACCTAACCTGATAAGTGAGATGCCTACGAATCAGAGTGAGTTGTTATGTTTTTATCTATTTGTAGAGTTGATTGAGAGATAATGTGATTGACTGTTAGATTTTGAAATCCGAAACAAAGTGGATAACAAGGAATTAAGCTATTACGATAACAACAGCGATTCGTAGCTCAAAATATTGTGGCTTGAGAGTGGCCCGAATGTTGTTTTTTATCCTCTGTGGGCGTGTGCTTGAATTGAATGAAGTCTCACAGCCAAGCATCATATTTGGTGGCAAAACAATAAAAAAAGAATGAAAAAGAAAGACAAGAACAGAGATTAAAGAGAGAGAAGCATGTATCGTTTGTAACCTAGCGGCACAGTGAGAGGAGCGATCTGGGTTGCTATTGCTGCCGTGGCTGCCGAAAGCTGCTGCCGTTGTGTCGTCCATAGTTAAAGAAGAGGAGTCTTGACTGGTATTTTTGTTTCCCTTGTGTGATTTTCCCATCATTTGCTCTTCAACCTGTTGTATTTTTGTTTCCCTTGTGTGCAAATTCACTCTGCTTCTCTGCAAATCCGTGTCTGCAAATCCACTCTGTTTCTCTCCATTCTTAGCCAAGAAAAAGCAGTAATTGATAATCACAACTTCTTCTCAATTGGTATGTATTTATGTCCTTACCCATCTTTCTTCTATGCTCCTCCTTCAATGGTGGCCTGAGAGGTCTCTCTCACAAAATCTGGCTTTTTATGCAATTGGGGTCTTGTTTTCATGGCTAAATCAAGAGTACCCATTAATTGTTGATTCCCTCTTCTTTCCTAGCCTTTAATTCTTCTGTGTTTTTCTTTATTCTTTTGTGCTCTTGGTCATTGGGGAATTATCTTTTCTTGCCTAAATGTAGAGTTGTCATGAATTTTGTTGAATTCTTTTTTCTTTGTTTGTTTTAATTCAACTTGTTCACAGAGATGTTGTCTGTAATTGCAATATGTCAGCTTCACATGTCTCCTTATTTGATTCCATAGCATTAGAATTTTGGGATTTTCTAATTATAGTAGGATTTCAATTGCTGAGCATAAAGTTTAAGATTGGTTAATTCATATGTAAAGGTTTGGCATGCTGCTTTTCTTGCCTAAATGTAGAGTTGTCATGAATTTTCTTGAATTCTTTTTTCTTTGTTTGTTTTAATTCAACTTGTTCACAGAGATGTTGTCTGTAATTGCAATATGTCAACTTCACATGTCTCTTTATTTGATTCCATAGCATTAGATAAAGGTTTGGCATGCTGTTTTTGTAGAAACCCCTTTTTTTCTTCTCACATTGAATAATTGTTTTGGATTCCGTGATTGATGTAAGCTATAAAATTCAACTCCTTTTGATTCTAGCCTAATGGCTCTCATATTTTACAAACCTGAAAAGCCCCATTCTTAAGGTGGATTCCATTAATAAGATAATTGTTTGTACTCTAAAATTTTGTATTCTATTTAACTTTGAAGGTAGAATGGACATTGATTCCAACAATAATTTTTTCAATGGGAGTGATGAAGTTGAAGAAGAAGATAATACTCTTTCATTTAATGAGTGTGGTGAAGTTGAAGAACCTAAGAAGAGAATGTATTTTAGTGCAAAGGAAGAGGTGTACGCATTTTATGCAAAATATGCAAAACACTCGGGATTTGCTATAGCTTATAGAACACAAAATTTAACATGTGATGGGGAAGTTAAGTACTTTGGAATTAAATGTACTAGGGCGCGGAACAGAACAAAAAGATCAGAAATAAATCCCTTGGAACCATCTTTGTCATCAAAAATTGAGTGTAAAGCAAGAGTAAGAGCCAGTCTACAAAAGGATGGAACATATAAGTTAACCACAGTTGTGCTTAAGCATACTCATGATTTGGTTGCTACTGACTCACGGCATTTTGCAATGAATAAGAGGATTGTTACTCCGGTGAAGAGGAGATTAGAAGTTAACGATGCAGTAGGAATTGGGGTGGCTAAGAATTTTCATTCCATAGTTGTTGAAGCGGGGGGATATGAGGCATTAACGTTTGATGAACGAGATGCAAGGAATTATATTGACAATGCTAGAAGGTTGAGACTTGGGTAGGAGACGCCGAATCAGTTACTCATTATTTTCATAAAATGCAACAACAAAATTCAAACTTCTATTCGGCAATTGACCTTGATGAAGATGGTCGCATGCGCAACTTGTTTTGGGTGGATGCAAGGAGTAGGGCGGCTTACAAAGCATTTGCGGATGTTGTCTCTTTTGACACAACCTGTTTGACAAACAAATATGATATGCCATTTGCTCCATTTGTAGGAGTTAATCACCATGGACAGTCAATTTTGTTTGGCTGTGGGTTGTTAAGTAATGAGAACACGGAGACTTTTGTTTGGCTATTCAAAGAATGGTTAAGTTGCATGTCAGATGCTCCCCCAAAAGCGATAATAACTAACTAGTGCAGAGCTATGCAAAATGCCATAGAAATTGTCTTCCCACAGGCTCGACATCGTTGGTGTTTATGGCATATTATGAAGAAAATTCCCGAGAAATTGAGAGGATATTCGTAATATGAGTCCATTAAGGTTTCTTTCAGTAATGCAGTTTATGATTCATTCATAATAGATGAATTTGAGGAATACTGGGAAGCAATGATTGAAAATTTCAATTTGAATGATAACGAGTGGTCAGGGGTATTATACCGTGAGCGACATAGGTGGATTCCTGCCTATGTTAAAGACATATTTTGGGCTGGCATGTCAACTACACAATGAAGTGAGAGTATGAATGCATTCTTTGATGGATATGTGAACTCCAAGACAACCTTGAAGCAATTTGTTGAGCAGTATGACAATGCATTGAGAAGTAAAGTAGAGAAGGAGACAAAAGTAGATTTTAAGTCTCGTAACAAATTGTATGATTGCTTAACGGTGTATCGTTTTGAGAAGCAATTTCGTGTAGCTTACACTAATTCCAAATTTAAAGAAGTTCAACTAGAAATGAAGCGTCTAGTGTATTGTTGTGCAAATCTTATCAAAGAGAAGGGAGCAATTTGTACCTATCATGTGAGGGAGGCTATTGTTATGGGTGAGGGGATGAAGAAAGCGGAATTTGTTGTGTACTTTAATTCAATTGAATGTGAGCTCCAATGTATGTGTCGGTTGTTTGAGTTTAGAGGTATTATGTGTGCACATTCACATTCTGTGCTCATTGAGAGATCCATATATGAGGTGCCAACTAAATACATTGTTTCGAGATGGAGAAAAGACTTGGAAAGAGGCTACACATGCATTCCAACCACATATTCTAACTTTGGCTCTTATCTACATCCAAAGTTGTATGATAACTATCACAACACGTTGGATGAGATCCTAGATCTTGCTTCCAATGATGATGCTAAACACAAAGTGATTCAACTTGGGTTGATGAAAATCAAGGATGAAGTGAGAACAGTTCAATCAAGTAGTGTGAGTAATGTGCCATATACTAGTACTTTACCACCTTCCCATACTTCACTAAAAAGTCCATCTCGTATCAATACTACAAAAGAAAGCATGACTCGCAAGGTACTAAGTTCTTTGGTTGCTCGCCGAAGAGGCCGCCCATGTACGAAACGGAAGGTTAGCAACATTGATGCAATAGTCAATCGGTTGAAGGGAAAGAATAAGAAGGCTAATCCGGTATAGGTACATTTTTCATTCCGCAGTACATATGTATATTGCAGAATTTGTTAAACTTCAAATATTCATCAATGTTTGGTAGTATAGGGTCAGAAGGTGCGTCAAGGTGAACCTCGTAAGTTAAACTTTCCTTGTATGGGAGGCGTGCAACACACTATGTATGAACCGGTACGTGTTAAATATGAAGGTTGTTTTGTGTTTTTTATTTTGGCTTTTAATTTTAGTGCTTGAAATTAATAATTAACTTGTGTTACTATTTCATCATTAGGTGCCGCCAAATCAACCTTACTATTGTCCTTCTATGGATGCCATATCAGACACTTTTCTTGTACCGGTATGTGTTGAACGGACTTAATATATTGCACTTTGTTTGTTGTCACTTGATATTGGTGAATATGTTTGTGGAATTTTTATTTTATTATTTACTTTATTTTTACAGGCACCAGTTACCACAAGTGGGGACGACATTGGGAGCACATCTCATACTGAAGCTGGAATGGTCAACAATATTAGCAGTAAAAGTTCGATAGTACCATCATATTTTGTTGACTTGAACATCGACAGGGATCCGAATGTCCCATTTTTTTTTTTTAGTTTCGAAGTGCTAATTGTACGTGAATTTCATTTGTAAACTTCGGATTGTTCACTTAAATGTCCCATATTTTTTTGTTGAATGAATTGAAGGTCCCATATTTTTGAGTTGAATGAATTGGATATTTTTTTTTTTATTGTTACAAATGGTTCTGTAGTGCTTGTTGATTCTGTTAGAAATGTTGATTCTATAGTGCTTGTTTATTCATAGAAATTTCATTTGTTGATTCTGTTTATTCTTAGAAATGGTTCTGTTAACCAATACATACTGTTGATGCTTGTTGATGCTTTGGGTACCCTGTTGATACTTGTTGATGCTTTGGGTACACTGTTCAAAGAAATGGAAGCCAATTGTTCTTTCCTGATGCAGTGAATGAAATCTGTTAGGTATGAAATCAATCTGTCTTTGGCAGCCCATAAGTCTATTCAATAAGTCTTCTGCTGGCATCAGTTTTTTGTCTGTTCAATAAGTCTTCTGCTGCAACTTCATTGATTTAAATGATCAAGTATTTTTAGTCAATATTTTCTATTAGTAGTAATATGATTGGTTTGAAAAAGAATAACTGCTTTGATTCTTGTTTTCACTTATACCGATTAATTTTTTGTTTTTAGCAGTTGGAAATTGATAAGTTGAATGTTACAGGTGAACTCTGCAAATCCTGGAAGAATGGATTCATTTCTTGTAGCTCATCAAGGCAAGCAAACTCCCCCTGTGCTGAATAATCCATATGAGAGTTATGGTGGTGGGTTTGATCACTCAAGGAGAAATGACATTGAAAGCAAACTTGTTAATCCTGGTCGTGTAACAGATTTCATAGCATTTCATGTGAAGTTCATTCAACAGATTTCATGAGAAATGACCCTATTTATTCAACAGATTTCACACATTGTTCATAATCAATACACACTGTTCATTCAACAGATTTCACTGAACAGATTTCATGAGAAATGACCCTGTTCATTCAACAAATTTCACGTCAAGTTCAACCTATTATACACCTTCAACCTGTTCAACCTGTTCATTTAACACATTGTTAATCAATACACCTATTTTTGCAAACCATCACATATAATACACACTGTTAAGCAACCAACTGTTTATTCAACAGATTTCACACATTGTTCATAATCAATACACACTGTTCATTCAACAGATTTCATGTCAAGTTCAACCTGTTATAAACCTTCAACCTGTTCAACCTGTTCATTCAACAGATTTCATGTCAAGTTCAACCTGTTATAAACCTTCAACCTGTTCAACCTGTTCATTCAACACATTGTTAATCAACCTGTTCAACCATTGTCCAAAAAAATCCACTGTTAAGCACCTGTTCATTCAAGACCCTGTTAATCAATACACCTGTTTTTTCAAACCATTAGATTTTTAAGTAGAAAAGTACAAAACCTAACTAGAAAAGTAGATTACATTCATAGCATGTTCCAAAACCTAACAACTGAGTCATTTACATTATAAAGTACAAAAATACACAAAATACAATGACATAAGTCATTGCCTTGAAAATCTTCTCCATCATTTGAAGCCTTCTATCATACTCATGAATTGCATTCTCCATCTCACCAAGCCTAATCCTTAGATCATTAATTTCTTCTGTTCTTGAATATGTCCGAGGTCCAGCATTCACACGGATTGTGGAGGTAACGTCATCGTTGTCATCATCTGCAAACCTGAAGTAATGTAGTGTTCGTTCGCACTCTACAATGCACAAGAATCAGTTAATCAATAAATGACAAATGAAATTTGTAAAAAATAAAAGATTAATTTATATAACAGATACTTACATATTTTGTTGGGCAAACAAAAAACACACGTCCTTCATTTCCATTCTCATTGGTTCGCACAATATGCATGGAAGCTGTTCTTCCACAATTACACAATATTGACTTTAATCTTATGGTCCTATTATTAGTAGAAGATAAAGCCATTTTTTTATTTGCATAACAAAAACCAACAGATTCAACTACCTATTAGTAGAAGATGATGTTCTTCCTATTTTTTTTTTTATCTTACAGGTTGTTCTACCTATTAGTAGAAGATGATGATTCAACTACCTATTAGTAGAAGAGGATGCTTTAACTACTTACCAACAGATTCAACTACCTACCAACAGATTCAACTACGTATTAGTAGAAGATGATGATTCAACTACCCATCTGTTTAAAATAGAGACAGATGCGTTCAAGATTGAACTCTCTTATCAGGTTAATCTGGAATTAATTTTGATAACAGAGTTCAATCTTGATATGTTCAATTAACCAGGCTAATCTTGATAACAGAGTTCAATCATGAATTAATTTGGTTAACAGGTTCATCTTTTTTTTTTTTGTAAAACTCTGTTCAATCGGTTAAATTAAGATAACAGAGTTCAATCTGTTTTTCACACACAGAACATTGAATTATTCATTGAATTAATTTTGAAATTATTTAACATAGAAACATTTCATGAAGTTTAGGAGCATGTCATCAATTTTTCACATAACATTTCATGAAGATTAAAAATTAATTCAAGATTAACCTGTAATTATACAAGATTAACATTGCAATGCATTCATACTCTACAAGATTAATTCAAGACAAAATTAACATTGCATGAATTAATTATACAAAATTAATTCAACAAATTCATCTAAGACAACCTTGAAGCAATGTATGAATGCATTCAAGATTAACATTGCATGACCAAACTCATGACAGATGTGTATTTCAAGCAAAACCCTAACCCTAACCCTAACCTTAACACAAATTGCAAACAAAATCCCAAACCCTAACACATCACAAATTAAAGCCAAATCCCAAACCCTAACACAAATTGCAAGCAAAATCCAACCCCAAACACTCCCAATCGACTAACTTTGCGATTTCAGGTTTACCCTAACTTAAACCCTAACTTTGCAATTTCAGGATTACCTCAGATTCGCTGTCGTTCGTCCTCCGTCGTGGTTCGTCGTCCTCAATCGTCGTTCGTCCACCGTCTCGTCGTCCTTCGTCCCCCGTTTCGTCGTCCTTCGTACTCCTTCAAGAGACAGGTGAGATAGTTGAGAATGAAGAGATAGAGAGGAGAGAGAGGCGAGAGCGAATGAGAGGGATGAGGCGAGAGTGAGAGAGAGGTGGTATCAATTTTGAGGTGGTATAGCTTAGAGGGACGAGATTGAGAGGAGAGAGAAATTTGTCCTTTCGAGCCATTCGAGCCCGAAATATTCGAGCTACGGCTTATTTTTGTTACGATAATTTAGAATAACAAATCAGCTCAAAAAAAAAAAAAAGAAAAGAAAAAAGAAACATCGATTATGTTCATCTTCCTCATGATTTTTCAAACTTGAAGTCGGTGGCTTAATTTTTTTTGTTCTCAACCAATATAGAGTGATCCTTTTAACAGTCAAACCTGGTAGTCTGTTCAGTAATTATAGTTGAATTTATAGCATTCAGATACAAGAGTTCTTGATCTACCAGGGACTTTTTTATGGGCATTAGTGATTTTAACCCACTCAAATTGATTGTGGGTTTGCACTGTGTAAGTAATACTTTTGATTAGTGTAATCAGTTGACGATATTGTACGTCACCCATGAAGTCACAAGCACTCATTGTCCAAAAATTTATTTTATTGGATACATTAATACTTGAAGGGTTCTATTTGAATTGGCATTCTAATATAGATTTTAAAAATAGGGAGAAGACTCTTTTTTTTTTCTTTTTTTTTTTTTATAAGAAGGGAGACGATTTTTTTTTATATTTATATAGAACTTTTGAAAGTAGATATATCTTTTTTGAGTATTTAATTTCAAAAATAAAGAGATGGTTTATATACGACTCTTCATGACTTTTAAAAAGTATAATATATTTAAGAAGGTAAAATTAAAATTTAACAAAAATGGAAAATATGATAGACTCTTCACACTTTTATAATAGTAGTACGCGAGAAAACTAATGGCAAAAGCTTCACCCTTTTTTTTTTTGTGTGTTCCCCATGTTAATTTGACTCTAAAACGAACTCTATACACTTTCAAATAATAAGATGACAACAAGTCTAAAGCCTTTTTAGTTTTTTATTTTATTTAATTTTATTTTTATTTTGTGTGTGTACTTTCTCATAAAAAAGTAAATTTTTAATTATATTTTAGAAGGAATTATACTAACAGTCCTTATAGTTTGTAACTCGTGTCACTTTGGTTCTTGATTTTTTAATTGTAACATATTTGATTCTGAATTTCAAATCTTGTTCTAAATAAAGACAATTGAGGATACCATTGCTCAATTTCAAGGGTAAAATCGTTAATTTGATAAATTATAAACTAATTTAACAAAAATGAATATCAAAAAAATATTTTTAAATTTAAAAAAATTATTTCTACCTGTAGACACCCCATTTTTGACCGACCTTAAGACTCAGATGTCATCGATTGAGCACTCGGTGATGATGCATATTGTGCTCGTTCTGAGGTTTCGGAGTCTTGGCTGAGAGCCTTGCCTCCGGACTCCGGGGCTCTTTTGTGCTTTGCCTCGGTTTGCGAACCAGGTCCCATTTTCTCCGTTTTCTCTTCCCGAAGGGAGGGAGAGGTCTCGTAGACCATCTCTCAGTGGCCGTAGGCTACGTTTCGTGGTCGTAGGCCATTTTTCCCGTTTGAAGACCAGTTTCTGATTTTTTGGAGCCGTCGGCCGTGTGCCAAGGTTCAGGACCGCTTAACTACCTCCGTTTGCTCCAATTTTTGGCACACACCTTGTTTCCTCTCCTTAGAGGGACATTGAGGCCTGGGAGACCACCTTCGTGGTAGCGCGCCACCTCCGGTGCCTAGTAGCCTGTTTTCGGGGCCCGGGCCGCGTGTTTTGGCCTCCGAACCCTCGTTTTGCATCGGTTAGGGTTCATTTTTGGTATGGACCCTATTTTCTTTGTTTGGAAGGTGGTACTATAGTGGGAGACCAGCAATTCTTTTGGAGACCATTTTCTCTCTCCTCCAGCCGGTTTTCTTGACAGAAAGCTGGTTTTCTTCACTTTTGGACCATAATTTCTGGTCTTCCATACCACCATTGTGTTGTATTCATCTAGGAGGCCACCAATAATGGTAGGCCGACCAACT